TTGCCCAATTCTGCATGTTGCACTACCACAGTGCAACCACTTGTTTGGATTTAACATTCTATAACTTCATTTTCACTGCACGCTTTTCCTGAGAACACAAGAGTTAGACTGTAGAGATGGGGATTGTTTGTTTTCTGCTTTTTATTTTTTTTTTCTAGAACAGAAAATTTTAAAAACTTATTTGGATAAGTGTTTTTTATTTAATTATTTTCATTTTTTATTTTTAAAAACAAAAAATTGAAATAATTTCAAGTTGTTTCATTTCATTTTTGTTATTTTTTAAATGCACTAAATTTGACCATTGAAAATTATAATTACATTGATCAATTTCTATTATTAATTATCATCATTAACTATCTATAACCATTACTATTAGTTCATTTTTTTAATTTTAAAACTATTTTTAATTGACATAATCAAATGAATTTTTATTTATTTTGTTTTGAAAAAAAATTTAAAAAAAACTGTATTATAAAACAGTTTTTAAAAATAAAAAAATGAGAATAGAAAACTCTATGTGACTGATTTTCTCTTACTTTTCATGCTTGTATCATCACTGTTCCGGTGTTCCCAGCAGTGTATTGCTTAGGATACTTTAATCGTTGGAATACTTTTTTGGGAAAAAAAAATTAGAGGGTTGAAGATTCAAATTTAACGTAACAAAGTTATCAGTATTATCAGATGTATGGGGAGTGGCTTTTTTTTTTTTTTTGGCTTCATCTATTTTTTAAAAGTTTTCTCCACATGATTTCAGTTTTCATGCAGCTTTAACTTTTCAAACTAGAGCGGGTCCGTACATGCATGGCTTCTAGTAAAATATAAGCCCCACTATACATATGAAATTTAAACTTTTAATAGTAAATGGTTTTTAAAAGCCAAGCTAATTCGGGTTGATTATGTTTAAAGCTCTTCTGATAAAATGTATAAACCACGTATAGATGGAAACATATTTTTGTGCCTATATTTATTTTAAATAAATATGAAAACATCAGCCAAGTACACAATTCAGTAATCTATATTACTTTAAAATTAAACCTACCATTTTATCAATAAACAAACATTTGTTTATGGTTGTTAATCAAATATGTGCGCGCGCGCGCATTACCTGAACATATATAGCTTTTGTATTTAATAACTAATATTGAAAATTATAATTACATTGATCAATTTCTATAATATTATAATTCATATCATTAACATTAACTATCTATAACCATTACTATTAGTTCATTTTTTAATAATTTAAACTATTTTTTATTGACATAATCAAATGAATTTTTATTTTTTTTGTTTTGAAAAAAATTTAAAAAAACTGTATTATAAAACAGTTTTTAAAAATAAAAAAATGAGAATAGAAAACTCTATGTGACTGATTTTCTCTTACTTTTCATGCTTGTATCATCACTGTTCCGGTGTTCCCAGCAGTGTATTGCTTAGGATACTTTAATCGTTGGAATACTTTTTTGGGAAAAAAAAGAGGGTTGAAGATTCAAATTTAACGTAACAAAGTTATCAGTATATTATCAGATGTATGGGGAGTGGCTTTTTTTTTTTTTTTTTTTGGCTTCATCTATTTTTTAAAAGTTTTCTCCACATGATTTCAGTTTTCATGCAGCTTTAACTTTTCAAAACTAGAGCGGGTCCGTACATGCATGGCTTCTAGTAAAATATAAGCCCCACTATACATATGAAATTTTAAACTTTTAATAGTAAATGGTTTTTAAAAGCCAAGCTAATTCGGGTTGATTATGTTTAAAGCTCTTCTGATAAAATGTATAAACCACGTATAGATGGAAACATATTTTTGTGCCTATATTTATTTTAAATAAATATGAAAACATCAGCCAAGTACACAATTCAGTAATCTATATTACTTTAAAATTAAACCTACCATTTTATCAATAAACAAACATTTGTTTATGGTTGTTAATCAAATATGTGCGCGCGCGCGCATTACCTGAACATATATAGCTTTTGTATTTAATAACTAATATGGTTTTTGGCATACAAAATATTAGAGTCAAAATATAAAAAAAAAATGAACAAGAATGAGATATAAAATATTCTAGTATCTTTAATGTTTAATACATAATAGTACTATATTTTGTTTTAGTTCCTTGTTTTCGTAGTTTTGTTTTTAATAACTTGCTTCTTTCAGTCCAGGAGCCTCCATTGCGTATACAAATGTAGATATATAATGAATATTATTTAAATTATTCAAATTTGATTTTATGCAACCTGTTTTTAGTATTTTATGTTCTCTCACTCAAACATTTCGAGTCCTAGTCTGTTTGAAATTTCAAAATCAAAGAGAAAACTTTATTGGTTGAAAAAAAAATGAAAAAAAATTTCAGTCTAGATGCCAAACATAATGAAAAAAAAAAAAGCCCTTAAAATCCGAAAATTTACTTTACACTGAGTAGTGAAATGAAATTAAAATGTTAGGGAAATTGTAAAATTAAAAAAAAACTTAAGTGGAAAAAAACACACACCACTCAAAATCTGTCACCGGCACAAACACTCCGACAAGCCGTCGCCTGACAACTAAAAGACCCACAAGAACTTGTGAATTGGGGAGTGCTCTATGCTGTGGAAGACCAACATTCTTCCGTTGTTAACCCCCAATCGGAATCCTGTATGCTCTGACAACAGTTCGGTATCAATAGGCAAGCAGGGATGCGACAACAAGGGACTGGAAGAGGAGAGGAAAGTTCTTGGAATCGCGGGTCATCATCAAAATCTGAAATTGAAGAAGCATTGGTCCTCCGAGAACTCAATCTTGGCCTACCAGTGTCCACTTTCAATATTTTGGGGCTTCCATTGAAATCGTTTATTGTTGCATCAAAAGAAGATATCCTGCGTAAAATGTCATCTTTGCTTGCTTTCCTCTCCTCTTTCAAATTTTGCGTCGTTTGTGTTTTCCAATTAACTTAAGAAGTTTTTTTAATTTAGAAGAGTTAATTTTGTTTTTCTTCTTTAACATTTCAATTTCATGTCACCACCCTTAGCTTTAAGTGAAATTTTAAATTTTAAAGAGTTTTCTTTTTTATTATATTTAGTTAATGAGTCTAGACTGAAATTTCTCCCAAAAAAAAAAAACACTTAGAGGGACAGAGAACACTCAGCCGAGAACTTGACCCAAAATAACCACTTTGAGGGACAGAGAACAAGAATCTGAATTTTTGTTAAATCAGACCCAATTGTCCATGATCACTCTCCTTGGGCCAAGTAATATAAGGCCTCGTACTTCACCCGGTTTTGCTATGAACTATTCCATATCGACTCGCAATACTTTGACTTCTATGATTTTTGTTCTTTTTGTGAAGAAAAGAATGGAGGGAATGTGAAAAGGCAATTAATAATAAAGTGGAGGTTAAAAAAAAAGTGAAGGAAGAAAAGAAAAAGGAGAGCAAATAAGAGGGGTATTTACAGTTTTCCACTTTACATCCACAAATCATCTTTTGTTTACCTTTTGTCTAATGCTCTGCCAAGGCCTCAGTGGTTTCATAAGGCTGTTCAAAGCCTAAAGACTAAAGCCCCTTTGCCCTTTGATCCGTATCCACTTTTATAACCCATCTCATTTGCAAAACCAAGCACTCCATCTCACTCTCATTCCCACCTACTTGCACACGTGTCCAACCCGTCACGTGCCACTCCTTTCCTAAAAGACAAAAGCCCATGAAGGACACCCACGATTCAAAAACTAGGGCCATCGGGTTTTCCATCTTTTTCTTTTCAATTTTCTCCCCTCAAGCTTTTTGCGCGTATGAGACGAAATTATATTATTGCACTGCACGACAAAGATATTCAACCTTTTTATTATTTAACATTTCCCGTTATCTTTATCTTTATTCCCTTGTCTACTATCTCACTCTCTCTCTCTCTCTCTCTCTTCACTAGACACCCCAAAATATATCTTTCTTAACTTGCTTTCTCCTGTACAGTTCCTCTGATTCACATTTCAATGCTCTCGGGCGAATTTCTGGGAAAAGCAAGGGCATGTTATATAAAAAAAAATGAGTGATCAATATGCACAGTAGCGAGCCATAGAATATGTGGTTTCTGAGTAGGAGCAAAAGATATGATAGAAAATGGAAGAGTAGGCAGAAAGGGTAAAAGGAGGTTGTGAAGCTGAGAGAGTGGTATAAACGCTAACGGGATGCCTACTTAAAGTGGGAAAAGGCAGAGGTTTCTAGTCCTCGGAACAAGTATAGAAGCCTTGACAGATACGTGTCGAAAAACATTTTAAAGTCAGTCTTCCTTGCATTTCGCTTTCATCCAATTATTCAATTCCTCGTTTTCCTCTTCTTTAACTGTATTTTCAATTTTGTATTCTGCCCTTCTTTACATCTCTCTCCGTTGGCTTCCATTTCCTTCTTTTCAGAACACTCCCTCCTTACTTTTCAGTCCTCCTCCCTATTTATTCCCCAAAAAAAGAGAAAAAGAAACAATGAAAACCGTCACTCTCGAGCTCGATGAAATGAAGCGGCCGGTATGATGACTTTCTTTGTTTCTTTTCGATAAATTATTATTAGATTATAATCAAATGGTAATAATAACAATAATAAGAAAAATCATGGAAAGCTAATTATGGAATTGTTCGTGAACGAATATGTCATTCGGTGTCTGCTCTATCCGTGGATCTTTTGTGATATCACTCGTCTCTTATCGGTTTTTGAATTGAAATGCGAGTTGTTACTAGCTCGTACGCTTTAAGATGGGGCTAGGCAGAGAAAGCCCCAGAGAAATTAGTGTTTAGGCCAGCCTGTTACATTCTCAGTTCTCAGCTTTTTAGTTTTTACCCAATAGAACTGCATGGAACCCCCTACTCATTAACTCCGTTCCCCCTCTCACTCTCTATCGCTGCCATTAATGCAACTGAAACATGCAGAGATCATATTCAGAAAAAGGAGACGAACAGGAGGGAGAGAAATAATCCCATAATAATGTAGAGCAATAAATTGCACCAGTGCGAAGAAAGAAAACTTAACAACAATTCAGAAAGAGAAGATGAACGTTTAAAATTTCGCATTTAATTTTGTCTTCACTCTACCCAAAACCTAGCTAGCTGCATCAATCGATGATATGTGGGGAACAAAGATAATATTTGGTGCTATATATACACTGAATCACAAACAGCGTTGAGTAGCGCGCAGGCGCTCACTAAAGTTTCCATCAATATCATTCTCGCTCCTTCACTAAGACTTGGGATCAAGAAGGAAGAAGAGAAAATGAAAAAGGAAAATAAAAAACAAACAAATGAGAGGAAGAAGTTAATTAAAAAAAACAAAAAGTGGTATAGCTGGGAATTCTAACATGCGGAAGGCGGCATGAGATTCAAGGCCAGGTCATCTTGTTCCAAGACCAATCGAGCCTTGTTCATTTCAGAGTTGGTAGGAGTAAGAGAATCAGAGTCAGGGTGCCTCCTTTTCTTGGACTGAATGGACACGCCAAAAAGCTTGGTATTGCTGCAGGGTTCTTCAACAATGGCGACGGAGCTTTTTGATGTGTAGGTCGTGGGAGGTCTCACGATACGGGAAACTTGAGGGGTAGTTTGCTTAGGGTTAGCAGAAGTTGAATAATACCCCAGAAGCTGGTTCATCGGCCTTTGCACCAAGGAAACATTTGTAGCAGATGGAGGCAACATAGGAGAGGGCGGTGATGGTGAACAAGTATTCGGTAGGAGCAAGGAAGAAGAGAAAGAATTGCTGGGAGCCACAGGCTTGACATGATTCTGGACGAAATATATGATGTCGTTATAGAGTTTTTTCATGTGGGCCAGCTCAGACATGAGCATGTTGTTGCTTCGCCTCAGTCTTTCGTTGTCCTCGGATAGCGTTACCATGCCGGAGCCTCCGCTCGGAGAAGTCAGCGGCGGCGAGTCACACCAATGGGGCGGTTGGTCATCGGAGTCGTTGGACGGAGAGACGCTGATTCTGGCGGTCGAGAAGGGAAAGAAAGTAGGAACATTGAGTCCCAACGGCAGCGGGTGATGATGAGGATGATTGACGGATCCCTGCTGGTGAAACTGAGACGTCTTTCTTCTATGGATCTCGCAGAGTAAATGCTTCTCTCCCTTCCTGAAAAACTCATTTGCGAACTCCCACCTGTCAGGAACGATCTTCCTAAAACCCTAGTTCATTAAAACAATTGAAGTCAGAACGTGAAGGAAAAAAGAGAAGGAGAAGGAGAAAGAAAGAGGGCGAAGGGCGAGTTGTGGGAAGCATATATACATAGGTGTTGAGCTGGCGAACGAAGCTGGAGAAATTGTTGTGCTTGAAGTAGTTGGGGAGAAGATCCCTGGCGAACTCGGGAGGACGCCAGACGACGAAGGTGGTGTCGTCTTCGCCCCAAGACACAATGTGATCGGTGGTGGGATCATCCACCAGTTGATAAGTCTTGGTCAGGAAAGGAGCAGGCACCGATTTGTGCGAGTCCAGAGACAGTAAAATGCTCTCACAATTGTCCAACAACAGAGCCATGGAACACAAGAAGCGAGGAAGAAGAGGATGGAATTGAAGCGGCGATGTGGCGTCGAGTTAGAGAGGAAGGGAAGGAGGACGAAGTGGTTAGCGAGGATGTGAATGATGGAGGTGGATAAAAATGTCGAGGAGAGAGAGAGGAATAGAAGTAGTAGTACTAGTTCTACTGTGTAGTGCGGTAATTTGGTTATGTATTCGCTTTGTTCTTTTGTTTGTTTGTTTATTTATTTTTTTCGGTGAAGGAGGAAGGAATTGTCGGGTAGGAGGGGTATTATAATTTTGTTTCCCTCCTCGGTTATGCAGTAACTAGGGGAGAGGGGGGAATATGTGTCTGTCTGTCTGTCTAGGACTGTGAAATAAGGCCTTTCAATACAAACCCGTGACTCTCTTTCTCTCTCTACGTGTGTGTGTTTGTGTGATTCACTGAGCCTTCTGACATTGATCCGCCCCGCTCTTACCCACTCAAAATCACGCACAGCACGAAGAAGCTGCAGTCCATGTGAATTGACCATTGCACCCTTTTCCCCTGCCTTTTTTTAACCTTTTCCTTTCGCTTCTTTGTTCACTCCAAAGTGCACTTAGTCAAACCACAGAACAACAGGTTTCTTTTTTCTTTAGTCTACATACGCAAAACTCATGTTGGAATCTAGCTTTGGTTAACAAATCAAATACGACGTTAAGGATATTTCCAGAGGTAAAGGAAACCTCGTTAGAAGGGCGTTCCGGCGAAATACCCAGATTTATTGATTTGGTCTTTGTCATTTCTGTGCGATAGAGTGAGGAGAGAGAAAGGAAGGAGGGGGAGAGGCTTGGGTAGCTTCACGTCAAACCAGTGTTCTTTTCAGTTTGTAGTTTTCCTTTCTTTGTTTAAAGTCACCAACCAAACACAGTCTCCAATTTCGAATCCCTATCATTTTTTTACTCCCTGCTGCGTCTTACCTCTCTCTAGAAGATAGCACTCGTATAGCAAAGCACACATCGTGTAACGTGAGGGAAATTAAAGACTGTTAAGGGTGACGACATTTCTTCCCTCCAATATTGCTTCTCTTCTTCCATCTGCTTCGCTCTGACCCTTTTCTACTCTTCACCACCCTTCTTTTTATCGGTTTCATGTCTTTTTGTCAAATACACACATTTCAAACTTGAATACCATGTGGGCTAGAGACTAGTCTCTGCCTGCTACTACCCTTTTCGCCTTTACTCCTGCTTTGATTTTTCAATTTTGGCTCTCCCTCTGCTGACGTGCCCCCAGGTGATTAATTGAATTATTGACCTCAAAAGTTTTTACAGCTTTAAACTTTTCACCTTCCTCTCTACGGTCCACCAATTTACATCATTAAAGTAATAATACAAGAATATATGTACGTATACACTTGCAAATAGTATCAGAATATGCTAAGGCGGACAAAAACGTTAATCAGAGGTGCGTGCGTGCATTCGATAGTCGATACAGCATGTCTTTAAATCTCGCCTTTTCAATGGGAATTCATGTTCACTTTTTTGCCGTCGAAATATTGGCTAGAATTGTTTCTTTTGGTACATTCCATATCGAAATGAGTGAGGCGTCGTATATTTTGATCTTGTGATAGTAAGTGAAAGTAAAAGAGTAGGGACAGAGAAGCAGATTAGAGGGCCAAAGCAGAACGATAGGAAAATGATGAGTAATTATTTCGGACAGATACCATAACTGATTATTTTGATAATGTGTATCATTCTCAATATCGGAAAAGCAACGCTCAACTGTCCCAGTCCCCCATCGCATATCATCATTCCTCGCTTTGCAATTTTCTTTGCTTTTCTCGGATTCAATGTGCATATAATTAAATCCCCATAAATAATAATATCTCCAAAGTTTTTCAAAACCTAAGTTTAGCTTCTCAGAGAAGCCATCACTTTCTGATCCGAAAAAGAAGGTTTGTGGACACATTTTAAAGCTCACTCATTACTTCCCAGCTAGCACTAACCCACCCAGCAGGCCAGCAGTAGGTTGAGTTCGAATTTGTCCCTCCTCATTCATGTGTGTACTTATAGAGAGCTACTGCATTTACTAACAGTGCCAGCCTGAACCAAATTTGACTGCGTTATAAAATGTTGCTCAGTAATTACTTCCTCTAGTACTATTAAGCAAGACACTTCTAACTAATCATAAAACTAATAATAGATATACAGTCAATAGTTGAATTACTGAAACGGTCAAGAAACAATAAATTTTTATGTTTATCCTTATTAAAAGACAAACATTTGAAAGTTGTAAGCAAGAGGTGATTTTTGAAAAAAAAAAAATTAATACCCCGGATTTTTATGTGAAGTGACTAATGCTCTTTGCCTCTTTCCATTTAAAATTATGAGACATTTTTAAATGAATTACATTTGTTTTTAAAATTATACACTCTTTTCATATTTATCAAACATTATAATTAATTACACACCTAAATAGGGGTGTTTTTGAAAAAAACCTCATTAATTGAGCTCTACAAGACTCATTTTTTTTTTATATTTTCTAACATCTCAGTTAAAATATAAGATATTTTTTAATGGATGGAGTATACATTATCGATAATTTTTTTAAACTTCATTAATAAATATCATGGGAGGAAGTGTATCGTTAACAATTAGATATTAATTTTGATTTAAAAACAATTAGACATTAATTGAACCAAACAAAATTATTGCACAATATAATGAGACAGGACTTCATTCGTTGACGACTAGGAGTAACAATGTGACAGGACAAACCTCCTAAGATCTCACTACAACAATTTTGGTTGAGATACTATTTCTGATTTTTATTTTCAGCTAGCGCGGAAAAAAAAAATTTATTCCATTCCCATGCACGAGCGATAAATATATTTTGATGTAGGTGGAAATATTACAAAAACGAAGAAGCAGCTAGCCAGGAATACTGGCAAGTCCAAGTCCCAATAATTAGCTAAAAATGGGAATGGTTGGCTTCTTTCCTTGGCCTAGTCTAGCGTGTGGCATGATCTGCGAAGGGTAAAAGGGACCAAAGAGAGGAGTGATAATTATGTTGTGACTTGGAAAACAATGATGCCCTCCTTGTATTTCAGTATTTGTATCGTTTATCTTTCGTTTTGCTTCTTCTTCTAGTTTCCCCAATTCCCAGTTCAATCTCTCACTGACCCTTTCGCTGAACCATTGCAGCGACTGACATGGAGACAGTACCTAGTCCTTTTTTATTTTGACGGAACCTGTGAGTGTATTCCCAGCCTCGTGATTCTTTTCTTGTTTTTATCCTGTTGAGAACAAACATTTATTACCACCACCTCTTCCCCATTTCCCCCGTTCATGTTACATACATATTTTTAGAAAAATCATGCCTTTTTCTCAAAAAAAAAAAAAAAACTACTATTCTTTATCGCCCCTCTTCTGCATGCTAGTACTTTTCTATTTTCCAAACATCGGTTTTGAAACCGAAGCAAATTTAATTTTCACCTAGTTTCCGAGTTTTGACAGTCATTATTATTTTTCAAGATTCAAACTTGGTCACAAACTATTGTTCCAGAAAATTTGGCCTACTGATTGGCTTGGCTTTTACCAGATGACCAGATCACGTTAGTCTTAGGCCTAATTATGTGATTATCAATGGATGAAAAAGGCGGGATTATGTGGGTCCATCAGATATAGAGTAGGGTCCTCTATTTTCTGTAGGTGATTGGTAAGAGAAGCGTTGGAGGAGAAAGACGGAAAAAGCAGGGTAATTTTGGCAGTTCATGGATGCAGTACGCAGATTTATTCATTTTATTTTCTTCTGATTCTGATAGTAATTGAAAAGATAAGGATATGCTTGCAGGAAAGAAATGAGAGAAGGGGGGGGGGAGATCTAGAAAATGGAGGGGTTATTTCATTTGCTTCACAAGTTGTCAGCAACTGAGACAGATCCTTGCGAGCCCACCACCATGAGTAGCGAAATTCACTTCACCCACCAAAAGCACACTCAAACACACTCTCTCTACTCTTGTTCAAGAGCCAAGAAGATTCTATTCTAATTTCCATAACCTAGTGAAAGTGAAAACCAACCCCACTCACTCGCTATCTTCCCATCACGTGACCACTGCCCGTACCTTTCAAATTAAATCATTCTTCATATTATGGCTTTACCAGACCTTCCACGCTCTAATTAACTCCACCCAATTATTGCTTAACCATTATCATAAATATTCTTTTCTCATATTTAATTCTTCCGAACCGAAAGAATCGAAAAGCTAAAAACGAAAAGCTCTATCTATATACGATACGGCAAGTTAAAATTACCATGGTTGTTTCCTTCTGCTCTGCGCCTGCCACAAAAACAAGATACTGATACTGATATGTGTATGGAGGGTAAAACAGGGTTGTAATTAGAAAATGTTAATTATAGAGAAGGTCACGAGGGCCTATGTATAGATAGCAGGAGGAATTGGCGCTCTGATACACAATGAAGGACTGGACAAGATGCCCGTTTGTCTTTCTACACCTCTTCAAATTATTTAGTACCCCACGGCTTCTCTTCTCTTGTCCTCTCATCTCTACGCACATACATGGGTTTGCCATTTGAACCCTTTTTTTCGGGTGGATCGTACCTCCACGATTATTTTAAAATTTCACTTAGCTTGTAAATGTAGTGAATAATCTTAATTAAATTTACTTGTCTTATCTCAAAAAAAAATGTAAATATTTTTTTAATGTGCTTAATAAGAAGAAATTAAATTTTTTTTTGTAAATGTAGATGTCAGAGTGATGTTCATTTATTATTTATTGGAGTATGTTTGCACAAAAGGTCCCCAGTCATCTCACGTCCCTCTCATAGATCACATTCTTCTTTCCCATCACATTATTTCTGTACCCACTAACTATTAAGATTCTTTTGGCAACTCCTGTAAATTTATTGGATAATTAATTAATGCCATGCATTTTCTTTTATCCATCAAAATTTGTGAAGTCATTGCAGATACTGCTTTCAATGTTCCCAATAACTGACGTCCGTTCCATTCCATCATATCAATTCTGAAAACATTTGAAAATATTTGATCGATCGATCTCGTTCATTCAAATGGACAAACTAAATGGAAATATTTTAAATATATGCTGAGCTGAACTACGGTAATTATTCCAGCAGGTTTAATTTTGCTTTCGAGTAGAACCCAAGAAAAAACAACAGTTTAATATTTATTTTATCATT